AAATAATTACATATAGATTATAGATATATATCCTATATATATTAATATAAATAATAATAATAATAATAATAATAATAATAATAATAATAATAATAAAATATTATATTAATAGATTGATTTTGACATTTTATATTTTTTAGTTATTTTTCAAGTTCCAATGCATTCACACCCTATTAAGGAGGTGCCATTAACACTCCCCTTATAAAAACATGAATGTGTGCAATTTGTGAAAATGGGAAAATTTCAAGATTACATGTAATATAATTAACTTGTCCAAAAGACGGTGACTTGACCAAGGATCGTCTTTTCATTAACATATGGTCTTGAAACTAATTACATTTGATCGTCTTTTCATTTGACACTACCTTATATATATATATATATATATATATAGAGAGAGAGAGAGAGAGAGAGAGACTTGGGATTACGTGAGACCAACCTGTTTTCGTGAGACCAGTTTTTTACACTTGAAACTTCACAGCAAAATGCTGTGAAGGTTCGACTTTTTTAAACCTTCACAGTGTTTTTGTTGTGAAGTTTCACGTGTAAAAATATGATCTCACGGGTCTCACTAAAACAGTGTGGTCTCACGTGAATCCAACCATATATATATATATATATATAGGGTATATTTCTTTTACAACCTTGTGTATTTGTACAACCCTTGCAACCCAATTAATTGAGATATTTATAGAAATGATGAGAGTTCATTTATTATGATTTGAATATTTATGGAATATAAATAGAGTTCATTAATTATGATTAATACTTTATATTAGGAAACAATCAAAACTTATATGAAATCACATATTCATCAAATGAAATAGACGGTTGAGATTGGGTTGTATTGGTTGCACAAATATCAAAGATTGTATAATAACCAACCTCTATATATATATATATATATATATATATATATATATATATATATATGTAAACAAACAAACAAACAAGGTGCAAGGGTTAATTGTGTTGATGCCAATCAAGATAAGAAGACAAGGACTGAAGACAGTTTAATTAAATGTATAATATTTAAAATATTATAAAATAATAATTGAGTTCATGGGTTGCCACTTGCAATAGCTACTTCTGTCTTCGAATCTTGGTCAACAAGACTGGTCAAACTTTGACCAAACCAAATATGAAATTTAATAAATTACAACAATACATTTCTTTGGGTATTTAATATATCAACAAATAATTTGTATTAAGTTTAGTAATTTAATTTTATGTGTTTAAATTTTAAATTGCATTTAAATAATG